ACAACCATTCGTCGATAACATTTTTCACACACTTTATATAATCGTTTTCACGTAAGCTATAACCACACGTCTTCCGTACTTAAAAAGTTAAATACAATCCTGGGTGAATGACGGATGAGACTATTAGTTAGCTATCAGTTGAACAAATTATTGTCGAACGTCATCGAAACAGCAATGTGTGAACGTATGTGGTTGTCAGTCTTTCGATCTGCTATTTCACGCATGGCACGCGTGCACAGCATACACATACGTATGTATATGATGCATGGACGCCCGCGCTCTAATACAAGCTCTGTCGGCAATGACTTGCTAGTTTTTCCTTCCGCTAGTGGCGCGGAAGGTTTACATGACGTGAAGTCTTGGCATAACGTCGAGAGAACTCGCGGCGTGTAATGCAGTCGTCGCGCGGAGAGCGTTCTATTTTTCCGAAATTGATTGTGAATTCGCGCGTTCTGTTTATACGAATTTGATCGCCACTTCTTCTATACTACACTTATCGATTTGAGACATCGTGACGTCATCACAAACATGGATATACCGGTAAGCACAATAGAAGGGGGGTAAGTCATATATATCGATTCTCAACGATCTTTCACTCGAGCTCCTTTCTTCGCCTCCTTTTGTAGATCGATCAAAGGACTTAACCAAAAATGCGTTTGGTTTATTGTTCAGTGAACGTATACGTATAATTTGTCGTAAGGATTTAAAAAATGTGGTGATCATAGTATACATCAACGTTTGTAGTGCATTCGTGGACTGTACCGAGTGTTTATGTTATTTCTGGTCAGTTTTCCTCAAAAATTGTATGCGCATTCATTAATGATACAACTCGACAAAAGGAAAAAGTTTTGCTATTTTTCTAACTATTAAAGTCGTCTGTAAATTAATTGATCATAGCAGACTGAAAAACACGTTAATGTTACAATTTTTTGCTTCTTTAATTTTTTGGTATAGTTTTTCTTGATTGTAAATCATATCCATTTTATAGAGCGAGAGTAAATTAAAATACCTGTTAATAATTTTGATTGATTTACGTGGGAAATTTTTGTCCAATAAATTTACATTGAAACTTCTATCAGTTTAATGAGTATGTGATTCGTAAATCGTGACATATTAACATGACTGTTAGTGACATTGAAAAATGTTAGTAGACAAAAATGGAAGAAAAGAAAAGAAAAAATGGTCTTGCGTTAATAAGTAGTATAACGTTAAAAATTGACATTGTGTACGTCACAATGACTTACCGGAATAGGAAAACGATGGACAAATTTTTCCTTATCCATAGTGATAATGACCGACAGGAAATGATTACGATCATTCAATTAGTCTGTATTCCTGAATAAAAGATCGAGTGCAAAAGGAGTGTTTGGTAAAATAAAAGCACGATAACCTTAAGGTGACCTTGAAACTTTCATTTGCGAAATAATTTTCATTATCGTCAACATAATTAAACACGCCTATCTCATCTTATATTTTTTTTCTTCGTAACAACAAATAGTAGTAATAACAATACTAGTGACTTTTAATTTCTTCTTTGCTTGTATCTTGAGCTTGAAGTTAATAAATATATGACGTATCAAGTAGAACTTTATTTTGTAACAACGATTCTATTATATGGAATTGATAAAAAAAAATTATGGCCGGCATCGAAGTTAATAGTTAAATGGTGCCAGTTTACAGCAATGTTCATGATTACTTTCATAGATAAATTATGTTCTTATCTCGTATCTTTCACTACTTTTTATCGTGCACGTGTTTACAAACAACGCAGGACACGTGTCTCTTATACTACTGACAGATTATGTAGTTCTATATTGCATAATACATACGCCCTTGAAGCGTCATCCTTTTATTAACTGTTTACATC